AACGTCGGGACCAACGCGCTCACCGCGGGTAACACGCGAACAAATTAATAAGATTATTAACTGCTTTCGTAGAGTAATTCTTTCTTTCTTGTACATGAACGCTCACCGCACTTACTTTGATGAAATATTGCTTTTGGGTCTATTAAAGGGTGGTTATTACTTAAGAGTTAGTCTTTAGTCATTGTTATAAATAAGTGTATAAGGTATTACAAATCGTTATCCAACGATAGTAGTTATTCATGAAATTAAATAACTTTTTCCAACAAAGAATATAGAATATAAAGAAAGAAAAGCTGTAGATGGTTTTCCTTGGATTCTATTCTTCATGTCAACTCTCCTTTTATGGCAAGTTATATAACCATATCTACGTGACGCTATCTCCTTGTGGTCTCTTGAAAACTGTCAAAGTTTTCAATCAGGAATTTGTAATGAATATACGCTATGATTGGCTGCCTCACTTAATTCCATCTATACATATTATGTCTTACTGGTGATTTGCTAGCGTACACCGATAACGCAGACAAAAAACTATATATTTTATTAAAAAAAAATATATATACTGTTACACATTATTATACTTCTCATATTTATTCTCGCTGCCCTTACCAAGATCACGTATCATCCAAAAAGTATTAATCAAACAAAAATACCCGTCTCCCGTCCTGTCCCGACCAAGAACGGCCACATGTGATTGATTGTTAATGAAGTGGTAGGGCGATAGTTATTAATGACCCGCGGCTCCGCCCGTTTCTTTCACCCACTAACACCTATTAACCGACCGTGTCCCGTACGTCAACAAATGCAATACATCATCATATTACAGGCGTATCAATCAATTTCGCAAATTATAAACGTTACAACCCTTCGTTTTGTTTGTTTGATTTCTATAGTGAATTATGAGAAATATTCACCTACACAAAAGAGTTGAGAGAATAAAATCTATATCTGTAGTTCTGTACATTGAATTTATGTATTAAAAAGTTTTTTTTAAGATACCCAAGACGTCTCTCGAACATTCTAGAAACTACTATATACTCGTATTCCTTTGAATTAAAAACATCAAATATAAAACAATATAACATAATATGACACATCTAAAAAAAAATTAAATATAAAAGCATACCAATGGACCTATAAAATAGTACCTAGTTATAAGTATTCAGATTAATTAGAATAGACTATTTTTGTTTTTATTTTATTGTACAAAATTAAAATTGGAATTTAAATTACAAGTTAATATTATTAAATATTTATTACTGTAAACTTAAAGATGAAATTCAATTTGAAACGTAATTAACCACGGATTGATCCCATTTCTTAATCGCCCTCCAATCATAAAAGGGTTTTGTTTTATTTCAATTAAGTCGCAATCACAAAGAGTTTCCAGACCACAGCTCTCAACAGTCACTCTATCGTCGACGATTTAAGCAGATGTCGTGTTAAGAAGGTCCTCTCGAAATATTCGTTAGGAATTTAAATTGCAAATTTGACGGCGGCAGGTGCAGCCTCACGATGAACATTCGCGTCTCTTTTCACCCTCATACCAAGAATATATCCTTCTCGCTCTCACACCACACCAAAATCAACGAATAATGAACGTCAACAAATAAAACTCGAGCGTTACTAATTACTAGACTCGTTCAGACGGAGAGAGGTAATTTTTGCACTCTATTCCAAAGAGAAAATCTTGAGCTAATGGCGTTAATTTAAAAAGAGGCCGATGACTGTGATTTTACTTTTAGCGCTTTTACTTTCAGCGTGGTGATTTATTGATGCCACAGATACTACCTCCAATAGTGCATCTCATAGAATTTGTTCACAATTTAAATGTCCACCATAGAAAATGTAAGTCACATACCAAATATTGCATTGTAAAACAAAACAGAGGGCGCAATTCATTATGAATGGACCAAGTGGCCGCAGGTACAGTAAAGCCTAAATTAAAGTTTTGTTCATCGACTCTGTACACAATGTAACTACTACTTGGGCAGGCCGATCACGATGCTACACCGGGTTAATGAATGAAGAAATTCAGGACCCCTCAAACGTGGTTTTAGCCCTGCCCTCCCTCGCTTAAATTCTGAACTAAATATAGTGACTGGATTTCCTCAACACAATTTAATGTTTCATTAAATTGTAATCCAAGATCATACGTAAAACCAATTCTGTACTACATATTTTTCATATCTAAAATTTTAGTTTACCACAGGCCTTCTCTCGTAAACGTGTAATTAGCTTTTCAATTTAAAGAAGGCTGCGTTCAATGCCTCCATCAATCCAGTCCCCTTCCCGCCAACGAATCGATAATAATTAATTATTTTTGACATAATCACAGCTAAAATCCATTCTCTTTTTGCTAATTCACGTCCCTATAATAAAACGGGGCGACGCTTTTAAGGCTCGCTCGGGTGAAATTGATAAAAAATAAATAAGAGTCGGCACAACTTTCGCCAAGTCAAACAAAATCGAGCGTTAGCCGAGTGCCCTGTGATTAATAACCTTTTAAATTTATCTCGTTGAAGCCAAGTTAGGCATCAAAAATCTACTGTCTTCACATAAGCACATTATTGTTCAATAGACTGTATTACACAATACGGCGATATCTAAGCGACATACTGAAACCCAAATTCAACTGAACTGACGAGGGATCTTTGTCAGGTGCACACAATCGGCGGGACACCGTGTCAATATTGGACACGTAACATAATGGGCACCAAGAGTCGGATGTGGGCGAATGTAGGATACAACACTGCTAATAGATGTCTGAGGACCTTCGACTCGATACTACAACTTTGACACGTGTAACGTCAATAAAGCACTCAACGTCTGCTAGTTCGATGCGATTTACTTATATTAAGGTTATCATTTTGAAGAAAAGAATTAATAAAAAATTTCCAATTTCTACTTTTTACGAATGAAGTACCTATTTATGTAGTAGGTACTCAGCAAGGGCAAGCTAATAAGAATATAGAGAGCGGCTCGCGGCCTCCGAATACCGGTACAAGTTACCGGTACTTAAAAAATACATAGTGAAAACATTAGCTCCGCCCGGGGCGGGGTTGCCCCGTGATTAAACCCAGCGAGGCATGCATAACGAGGCCGGTATGTTTGAACGCTTACGAATACTTTCCAAGTTAGTCCGGACAGCAGCGGTTGAAGCTCGGACGGGTAGCTATATCTGAGCCTGTTTATTACTGGTGAAACTGCGCCACTCCATCCTAATGTATTTGTTAGCTTAGGAGATAGGATAACCCTCTTGACCTAGTTGTGATGCACCAATAACATTCGAAAATAGCAATCGATATTCATACCGGTTATCTGCATAATCAAAACAATCGGTAGCGGTTGATATTATAATAGAATTCAACCCTTGGTATACAATAAATAATAGTAGATATGTACTTGAAAATTGTATATACACTGTGACTTTGTACTTAATGGTCAAGGAATGGACAGCAGCGTCCCTCTTAAAACATCGCCAAAGCTTAACTGCGGTTGCCAACCCGACTGCCAAACGTAGCAACTACTGGCAAAAGGCCATATCGGGGAGGCCTTTATTTAGCAGTAGACAGTTAGCAACTGATATCATCATCAACGTTTCAGCCGCTTAATTAAGCAGCTCAGATTCCGTAAAATCAAATGGGATGTAGACATCTACTAATGAATTTTCAGAATTCCCACAAAAACAGGAAAACCGGATTCACGTGGGCAGTATACCACTATCAGATCTAGTTACACGCGTAAAAACGGTTACATCGTTAGAATCCAATAAGACTGCCCTCCGAAATTAAATAATATTTTGAAGGGATTAGTATCATGATTGGACGGACACATGCTAATGCAAGAAGTTTTTAATTAAAACCGTCCGACGTTAAGAGGCTGCGTAATAGCTGATCCTCAGGAGGGATCCGATATTGGGTGTGTGTACCAGAAAAGCCAAAATACAAACATATTTAGGTCCGTGCCGTGCGGTAGTGTGCGCTGGCTAATCACTGCCCGGGATGCGAAGGATGCTTGTATATTCAACGCCTTATGTACCCCTTTCTTGTTATTATTAATATTTAAGCGAAAAATAAATATTTGAGAGGTAGTCGTTTCTGCTCGGAAAATGATAATAAAAGAAAAACTGATAATAATTTATCCGTATCTATGTATCTTTTATTAATAGTCGATGAACCTGTGAAACGTATAATTATATTCTTTTATATATATATTATTTTTTTAATGCACCTTAAAATGGCAAATAAGCTGACGGCCCACCTGATGGAAAGTGGTAACCGTCGCCTATAGACATGAGCAGTACCATGGACATAACAGAGAAAACTCTTTCGCCCATGATACTCTCCATGCAATGCCATTCCTGAGGACTCAGGTGCTATTTCTCTGTACCCTGTAAATTCACTGCCATATCCCACCCTTCAAACCAAAACACAACCATGCAAACGCAACTGCTTCACGGTAGGAACACGAATCGTAATAAGTAACATATGTATATAAATCAAACCACCGGGTAGTCGTATAGTATAGTAGCCGACCGAGGCTGACACGGCGTGATATATGATATCTATAGTTCTGTTCATGTTTCATCAAGTGACGCTTACTTCTTTCCATCGGGTAGATCATCAGCTTCCTTGCAATTTTAATTTAGAAAAAAAAATCATTTTTCAAATATGATTTCCAATTTTCTGAATGATTACTTCAAATATGCTCCTCTAGTAAACTTAAACGTTAATCATAAGAATAGATAATCATAGCATATAAATCTATTGCAATAAATAAGTCAAAATTTCAATCATAGTTTAATCTTACTGCATAACTAACGTTTTAATACAGCGTCTTTATTTTCAATAATAAAAAAAAAATATATCAGTTATTTTTGAACATGACTAATAAATACAGACATTATCAAACCATGGTACAAACACTCTTAATTCCACTCCTGTGCCAAATACCTTATCAGCCACATTATCCATTACTGAATACTTTATTTTTGTTTTCAGATGCACGTGACTGCGACGAGGACTCTAAAAAGGTAAATAAAAAGATTACAGTTAGAGTTCGCTTCAACAAAAAACAACGTTCTAAAACCACTCCGGCGTTCCCATAGCGCAATCGAAAACTTCGGCGACGAGATTATGGCCTGTGTGACCGCCAAAAGTCGCTCTGGAAAAGTGCAAGCTTGTTTACTCATATATCAGCGAACTGGTATTTCTTTCCGATAAGCCCGGCTCCCCCGCTGCCAATAAAGTGATTAAGTCACAAATCGTGGCGGCATGGCGCCTTTTGCTCCGAACGTACGAGGGTCGGTCTCTAATTTATATTTTTCTATTTATTGTTTTTTTTTTTTCTATTTTTTAGTTCGTGTATATTTGTTCTATGACTTTTAGACGTAAGTTGATCTAACTACAGCTATAGATTTAAGACTATTAAACAATAGATTACTACTAGTCGTATTTATTCTTTCATCGATTTTGTAAACCTTTAAAATAATTACTAAATTTAAAGTTTTTATTCTTCCTCTATCTACCTATTTCTATCTGTTTCTATCACTGTCTCAATATCAAAAAAATTGCTTCGGAAAGTACTAAAATTTAAATAAGTTCTTTTTACGATACGATTTTCTACGATATTTTATGTGAAAAAGTTAAAATTAATATTTTAACATCACATTAGTCTTAACTCATTTCGTAACACAAAAAATGTATCGTTTTAAAATATGGTTCATCAGTGTCAATAACATTGAGATCCCTGCAGCTATTTAAACGTATTTCAATAACAAATATCTAAATATCTCTACAAACTTTTACATTTATAGTATTGGTAAGATATCCAATGGAGTCTGGACATATAAAGTTATGTCACAGAAAAGCCATCGTTTAACTTCTCTGTCGACGTTTCTTGGGTGAACCCCACCAAGTCTCTATCACAAATAAATTGCCCCACCAAATCGTTCCGCGTGTTATAAATTTCATACGTGCTGAGAAATGACATACGGTATTATTTATTAGGGAGGTTTTTATTTCGGGGAAAACACAAAAAAAGACATTGCGACGTAATTGAGCGATGTTATATGGGGCAACAGCAATTTACCGTGGATCGAACATTTTTTTTTTTATATTATAGGTAGATTTGAAATCTTTGATAACGACTGACTGTTACGTACTCGTGAATAAGGAGTTATTTGTTTTAAAAAAGTGCTTTAGCTATAAATTTGTCTTAGTAACAAATTATTATATATTATATCAGACGTTAACTGTCCACTACTGGACATAGTTCTCTTCTATACCACTACTACCCACCCCTCGACCATTTAGTTCCCTTAGTCGCCTCTTACGACACCCACGGAACAAGAACGAGTGGCCCATTCTATGCCGGGGCCACACAGCAAAATTATGTGCATAATATTAATAAACCAAAATAGATACCGATTAAAATATATTGTATGATAGCTGCATATACCACAATATAAGAATCTCGAATAAAATGTAAATGTGAATGAAAAATTATTATTATTATCCATATCTTTCAAAATACAAGGGAAATAATACAAAAGCTTGTACAGTTATACGTTTGCCCGACTCATGTTTATATCACCAAGGAGCTATGCTTGCATGTTTATCTCAGTTTGAAGGCTGGATAAATAGTAAACTTATTTTAGAGATAATTTTAGAGATAAATATGAAGTGACATAATTTTGCTTTAAACAAAATTACATTCAATGTTTAACAGACTTTTCTGTTAACAGAATTATAATTGGTCAAATAATTTATATAATTTAATTACATAATTAGTCAAATAATTTATATAATTTAATTATATAATTAGTCAAATAATAATTATTTGAGTTATTAAATAATTTGCACAAATTATTGGAGTAATCTCATTCTAGAAAACGTAAAGCCAATTATTTTCCTTACAGCGTCAATTCCCACGCTGTTACAGTCTGTCAGCGAGTCGATAATACTTCACCATCAACATTACCCGCCCCGTGTTTACACGTGCCGTTTTCACCACGACATTAGTCGTAGGCGCCATTAGCTCTACAAATGACACTAAAATGAAATCTATTCATTTCCTTGGAGCAAGTCAATCGACGGTAGATATTGTTCAATTTCACGCGATCCGAGCATTACCACTGGATTGTCTGTGACTATTCTCGTTCATATTTGTCATAGATACTTTTACTATTTTTTTTTTATTTAATATGATGTTCTGACGAAATCACATTAAATTTAATAAAATGCAAGTATCTGTATAAAATAGGAATTATAACAATGTATAAAATGTTATTTTTAGTGATTTTATATGTTTATTTTCTTATATACCTAGTAATTATTATAGTATTTATTTTTAACAGCTAAATAAAAAAAAAATCAGTGTCAGTGGAAGCAATTTTAAAAACACGCAATATGTACCTAACCTACGCGAGTTAAGGTTCTGCCCTAAACGTCTCTGAGAGTCAGTTACCGCTTGATTTACGAGCGCTGCTGGATCACATCAGTCATCATCTTTATTAAGCTAATACAGCGGTTTAATGTCAATAATAAATCCTTGATAACATGCCACAATTACTGTGAATCGTTTCTAAAAGTTTTTAAATTACCTCGAATTATATGCGACCTATGTCTATGAGTTATGTACCTACCCGTAAATACATTTATGTGTATTATACACGTATTCCTTTATTTCCCTTGGATATCGATTGATATTTGATTGGATGTCACCAAAGGCTAACTGCGGTTGCCAATCCGCCTGCCACGCGTGGCAACTACTGCCAAAATTGCCGTTATGGGGAAGGCCTATATTTAGCATTGGGCAATATAATAATAAAAATAAATGTACGTATCTACGTATTAACAATTATTCTGCGACATCGTAAAGTCTATTTATCTAGTCCATCTGTGGACAAATCACTTTGCTACCAATTTGCTTTCAAATCCATATTTTAGGACAGCTATAAACAAGTACTTAATTAACTTACAATAAGCAATTCGGGAATTGTTGTTAACCTCGTGAAATAAATGTATTCAATCGTCTTTCACTCACTTTCTCAGCGTATGTATATACCTTATCCCTAATAAAATCACGTATAAACATTAAATTAATCGTCGATAACAGATTACCTCACTTTTTTATATAATTATTAACTCTATTTTACGTATCAAAAAAATGACATATTTTGCATCAGAAAATACAAAAACGACACGCAAACTCCTCCGGCTGCTAGCAATGGCTGATCGACATTGACAAAATTAAACGCACCCGTCATCCTCATATCAAGCAATCGTGTCAGACAAATGTACGCGGGGTCGATTTGACCGATAAACATCGAGTAACAAATTAACCCGCTCTACGCGCGGATAGCGGGCCGCTGTGCACCTATCGCGACATCTAGATACCCACCGGAACAACATTGATTAAACTTCCATGGTTTTCGAAATGGTTCATGATATTTGGCTTTGCTAGAATATTTTTATAATCATGTTATAAATGAACGTGTGTGTTTTTAACTGTAATATCTCACAATTTATATTAATTTATTGTTTATTGATTAAGTTCTAGCTTAAAAATAGTAAATTTTTGTAAACAATTTTTAACAATTAGTCCGTTACCCTAAAGGTTGTCTTGAAAATATTGCTTTTAGCAATAAGACCGCCTTACTATACTTATACAACTGTATCATTACAATTTATTATCTGTTTAGCTTATTTCCTATATTGTATAATGCAAATAAAGTATACTCATTCATTTATTCATTCATTTTTTTCTAATTTTCTTCTAATTACAGTCACTTTTAATTCTAGAGGAACAAAATTGTTACAATAAATTATATACCTATGAAAATATCATCATTCAACTCCCCATTATCTGTGACCTTGGCATCGTGTCGTGACGTCGCACCACGAAGATTGATAATGCTCACGAGTCGCTCGTTAGCGGTCCATTGTATTCATCCATCGATTATCAATTTAAGGATAACAATGCCTTTGGGACAAATTACCGGTGTAACACAAGAAATGGACGATGACACCGTATAATTGTTGATGTTGAAATTAAATTACAATTATATTAGTTTATTGCCTGTCATCGAGACAGTCTTACAAAAATACTTAACACCGTTTACATTACCTTTACGTACTTTATAAATATATTATTGGCTTTACAAATTAAGTATTCACTTTAAAAACTGATTTTTTAATATAAAAATATATTAAAAAAACATAACATTATTTTAGAGCTAGATGGTCGCGTTTAGCGCGGTTTCAAAGATGTTTTCTCCTACAAACGTTCAGGTTATGGAATGAACACCCTATCGAGGCTATTTCAATGACTACAGTAGAGGGTTCTTCAAAAAAGACATAAAGAGATTCCTTCATGGTCGGCAACGCGCGCTTAATGCTCCCGGTGTTATAGGCGTTCATAGACTATGGTAACCGCTTACCATCAGGTTTTTTTTTTTTTTTTATACCACTGAGGTGGCAAACAAGCATACGGCCCACCCATCATGAACGCCTGCAATAGACGCGCGCGTTGTATGCTTATTTGCTTATTTACCACTTAAGTGGTATAAAAAAATTAAAAACAGTAATTTATTTCTGATACGCATCAATTACTTAACATTCAATTGTAATGAAATAGTTATGTGCCGCACAAAAAAACTACCTTGTTCATTAAATAAATGAATTCTCGGTAAACGAGATAAATTAGAATCAAACGACATTCAAATTGCCCAGAAAATGACACGTCTGCTCATGTAATTTCCCCCTTACTAATAGAATAAACTGCTTAAAGTCCTAAGACATGGCATTATCAAAAAATTGGCTTTATTATCAAACTATTTGCTCGCGACGGTACCAATCTTGATCGAATAAAAAATTTACATGTCGCGAGGGGTGGCCACGTATTACGTGAATGAATTGGATCAATCGTTCAAACTATATCTGAAACCAACCTACGCAAGTTTTATTATCATTTACAAAGGTTATCTATATAAAAAGCAATTCATATAGATACGTATTTTCAATTCCATTA